TTTAACTTGAGACAACTAAATATTTCGAAAAATAAGCATTGTACGAAAAAATGTCCCAAATAAACTTTTAATATTATCAAGGGGGACGTCTGCCTGTGTAAAAATTAATCCGCCCCACCGCCCTTGGGGATGGGCGGGTGGCAACTTTGAAATTTCAAATGGGAATCCCCATTTTTTATTGCAGATTCGGATTTCTTGGAAAAAAATACGTAAGTTTTGTCGGAGACATTTTTTTGAATCGTGATAGATGGCGCTGTAATCAGTGAAAATTAGTTTTTGTCATTTTTTCTCACCATCGGGTGCTTTATTTCGGTGAGTCCCCTCGCCTCTCACTATTCAATTACAATAAATGCTCGAAATGATGACTTCCATTTCGATGCATTTATTAACTCGAACTTGGAATGCTTGTACACATGTAGAAAGTGTATCTGGCGTTATTTGTGCGCAAGCATATCTAATACGTTCCACCATGTTTTCTTGAGTATTTGGTACTTCTGTATACACTTTTTCTTTAAGGTAACATAAAATTATTTCAACTTTCAAAATTATTTCAAAATTATTTCAACTTTCTCCTCTAAAGATAAATAATCCATTATTTATTTGCTGAAATAAAAAACGCGTCCGTAAAAAAACAAGTAGCTAGCGTACGTATTACTGAAATTTACTTGACTTGAAATTTAAAGAATCCAGTTATTGAATAATTGTTCTGACTTAATTTCTTTTATTTATTTTGTTTCTCCTTTTCAGTATTTTCAGTATTTCAGAAATTTACTACATATGTAGATGCCTTATAGTTTTGGTACACTAGCTACTTGTTTTTTTACGGACGCGTTCTTTATTTCAGCAAATAAATAATGGATTATTTATCTTTAGAGGAGAAAGTTGAAATAATTTTGATTTATGGTGAGTTTGAAAAAAATATCGACGAAGCTGTTACTCTCTATGCTGACCGTTTCCCTGATAGGCCACGATCACGTGCTACTTTTTTTCGTTTGGTTAAACAATTTACTACCGAAGGAAATGTAACAGCTAAAAAAAACCCGTAGAGCGACTGCCACAGGGGAGAACAATCAAATTGCTGTGCTAGCTGCAGTAGCTCATAACTCCCATGTCAGTCTTCGAGAGGTATCTCGTAATTCAGGAATTTCTCGTACTAGTGTTTCGAGAATCCTGAAGCATCACAAATTCCATCCCTATCATATCTCAATGCATCAGGAACTTCATGGCGATGATTTTAATAATCGAGTGGTGTTTTGCAATTGGGCACTCACACAAATACAAAGAGACTCACAATTCTTTTATCGAGTAATGTTCTCCGACGAATCAACTTTCATGAACCATGGCAATGTTAATCGTCACAACATGCATTACTGGAGTGTGGAAAACCCACACTGGTTACGTGAAGTTGAGCATCAGCGTCCTTAGTTAACGTTTGGTGCGGAATCATAGGTGACAAACTAATCGGTCCCGTATTTATTGAAGGTACATTGAACGGAGAAAAATACCGTAACTTATTGCAAGATGAACTACCGATTCTGTTGGAAGATGTACCTCTCGAAGTGCGACAGAACATGTGGTTTCAGCATGATGGTTGTCCAGCACATTATTCAGCAATAGTACGAGAAGTGTTAAATCGTAATTACAATGATTGCTGGATCGGTAGAGGTGGTCCGGTAAATTGGCCTGCCAGATCGCCAGACCTTACGTCACCAGATTTCTTTTTGTGGGGTTACCTTAAAGAAAAAGTGTATACAGAAGTACCAAATACTCGAGAAAACATGGTGAAACGTATTAGATATGCTTGCGCACAAATAACGCCAGATACACTTTCTATATGTGTACAAGCATTCCAAGCTCGAGTTAATAAATGCATCGAAATGGAAGTCATCATTTCGAGCATTTATTGTAATTGAATAGTGACAGGCGAGGGGACTCACCGAAATAAAGCACCCCGATGGTGAGAGAAAATGGCAAAAACTAATTTTCACTGATTACAGCGCCATCTATCACGATTCGAAAAAATGTCTCGGACAAAACTTACGTATTTTTTCCAAGGAATCCGAATCTGCAATAAAAAATGGGGGTTCCCATTTGAAATTTTAAAGTTGTGCCCCAAGGGGCGGTGGGGGCGGGTTAATTTTTACACAGGCAGACGTCCCCCTTGATAATATTAAAAGTTTATTTGGGACATTTTTTCGTACAATGCTTATTTTTCGAAATATTTAGTTGTCTCAAGTTAAATGGGACACCCTGTATATGTATATACACAGTGCGGTCTATAAATACCCGGACTGATTTTTTTACGACAATACTAGTGGCACGATTTATCAGCCAATACTTGAATCATGTTATGGTATTCCTTAGCGATCTCTGTGTGAAGTTTCAGCTTTGTATGATCAGTTGACGCGGAGAACAAGTGATTTGTGTAAACAGTGTTTTAGGTAGTGTGTCACAATTTGCAAAATGGATGTGTGTAAGGAACAACGTGTCGCGATAAAATGGATCGATTCCGCACGGAGAAAATTTTATATCAAAAATTACTATGTACAGTAGTAGTTGCAAACCATGAAGGAATTATAAAAATTTTTACTATGTTTTTCACATGTGAAACATAGTAAAAATTTTGAGTCCGCAGTTACTGCCGTACATAGTAATTTTAGATATAAAATTTTCTCCGTGCGAATCGACATTGGGCGACCACAGCGTTCATCGTCTTCTACCGATTCTCTGCTATCGCGAAAACGACCGTACCATTCAAACACTGCTGTACGTTTTAAAGAATCATTCCCATAAGCCTTTTGCAGCATTGACAAAGTTTCAGTCGCCGAAATACCGGCTTTAAAACAAAATTTTATTGCGACACGTTGTTCCTTACACACATTCATTTTGCAATTTGTGACACACTACCTATAACACTGTTTACACAAACCACTTGTTCTCCGCGTCAACTGATCATACAGAGCTAAAACTTCACAAAGAGGTCGCTAAGTGATACCATAACATGGTTCGAGTATTGGCTAATAAATCGCGCCACTAGTATTGTCGTAAAAAAATCAGTCCAGGTATTTATGGACCGCACTGTGTATATATAAAACTACCTCTAAATTACGTCTAAATTATAAAATAAAATTTTTCAGATATGCAGGAGAAGTAGCTTTTACAGTTCGTTCTTTCGCATTTGGAACTGTATTTTCTAGTACTGTATCCTTAATAGTATTCGGTCTTATTTTTATTACAGTAAGTGTAACTTTATATATAATTAATGATATCATATGCGTTAAATATATTATTTAAGGAAGACAACATCAAATATTTGTTGGAATAAAATTTTGATATTTTTAGTGTGCTTGACAAAACACATGTGTCAAACTTTACAAGCTAAATGCATATATAAAATATAATTAATAATGATATAACATAGGTCCTACTGTCAAATATTACAACAACATTATGTTGTTATAGTTAAATTCTTATTAACTATATAGGGTGTCCCATTTTATTTTAAACAGTCAAATATCTGGAAATTATGGGATTTTAGAAAAAAATGTTTCGTGCAAAGTTTTATGACTTCGAGGGGGACATAAGATGTTGCCATTGATTTAGCCTTGGATAGTCGTTTGAAGATCACGTGAAGATCACTTTCAATTTCTTAAATAGAAACCCCCATTGCATATTCTTGTAGCTTACCTCGAAAACTTTTCGAAACACTATGATAAAGTATCTTTTCATTAGTACTTCTCGAGTTATGAGGCTTGAAGTTTACAGTACCGCCGGCATTAGCATTACATAATGTGTATCGTGTGGAGGTTGCACGGTCGGATTCACGAGTGTGTCCTAGTTACGTACAGAATAAATCGGACGTAGCAGATTGAATGAATCGGACACAGGTTCAATCGGACACAATAAGAAATGAACACACGGTGGTTGGAATCGGACATAGTGACAATCAGAAACAGTAGGAAACACAATGGTTGCAATAGGACACATGCTCCGTGACAGTTTTCCTAGCCTTAAAAAAACATTATTTCTAATGACCGAATAAACTGTATAATTACACTGTGACAAATTTAAACTTTTTTTTTTAGACCACAAATCAGACAAAATTATTCTTATAGATTTTTGGTCGCTGAAAACGAATCCGCTAATAAAATTGCTCTATCACGTCGCATTTTAGAGAAAATTGGACCTAAAAGTGCGGAAGTGGCATTTTTGAGTACTTTTGAGCTAAAGTATCTTAAAAATGTGATAAGGCAATTTTATTAGCGAATTTGTTTTCAGCGATAAAAAATCTATAAGAATCACTAATTGTATTGGCTTTATGCAAGAAGTTAGTTATAGATAAATTAAAAGAAAGGAGGACGGTAATGGTCCGCTTTTTATGTAATTTGAATAATCACCTGCACATAACGGTTTCTGGAGTCGGCGATTATGAAACCAAGGTCAAGATTGTCAAATATAATTTGTTTAAACAATTATTGTTTAAACAACTATAAAAAATTTGATTTTAATTATAATAATTTGTTTAAACAATGATTGTTTAAACAAATTATATTTGACAATCTTGACCTTGGTTTCATAATTACCGACCGCAGAAACTGTTATATACAGGTAATTATTCAAATTACATAAAAAGCGGACCATTACCGTTTTCTTTTTTTTTAATTTATCTACAGTGATTCAGAACAACCCATGTGTCCTTGCACAGACGTATTCCTGAGTTAATTCTGAGACGATTTTTCCTTTACAAAAATTTTGTCCGCAGTTTATTTTTCAAGTTATAAAAGAAAAAGTTATCAAATCACGGGACGAATACAGAAGATAGGCAGGAGCGGCGCAACTCCATTCGACACGGGTGATTACGAGACGCACGTTGCGATCAAACACACGTGATGAAACACGCGCCACACGCGCCACACACACACACACACAACTCTCTCTCTCTCTCGCTCTCTCTCTTTCTCTCGCTCGCTCACTTACTTTTACAAATTCGACGTCTTTATTCTGTTTGACGGATGAATAATTTTACCGGGTATAAGCAATACAAATTTACACAGCACTTGAC